AACAGTGATTTTCAGGTTTTTTAGGTAGGTCTAACATTAGTTTTTTGGTACAGAAATTGAATAAATTAATGAAGTGTAAAACAGCATTGCATATTTGACTGTATAAATTAAAGATTAATTTTTATTAAAGTTACAAAAGCTATTAAATCAAGAGCAGTGAGTGATTTCTTTGTTGTTGCTGTTTGATTAATATTAAGAAAGTGCTGTCACTTTAAGACACTGTAAGTACGTTCAGCCGGCTATGTCTGCCATAGGATACTTACCAAGACGGGCATTTTGACATAATAATTATTGTGTGAATTTGTCCATTCAAACTAGGGCTGGGCAAAAAATAGAATGCGATTTTCATGAGAATCTCGTCAGTAAAGCCGCTTCTGGTGATTAGTAGTAAATCTCCAGCACGTGCTTTCAGATGGAGCGGCATTTACTACACAGAGCCGTAGATCACTGACAAGCTACACAAAATCGCATTCAAAATCGCAGGCGATTCATTGCCGATTTTGAACATGATTTTGTGTAGCTTGTAATTGTGTAGCCAGCCCTAATTCAAACACAATACTTCAGAGAGAGATTAATATTTGCACGTGTTCTGAGGCGTGGGTTTGTTTTTCCCTCATCGCTGTTGTTGTAGTGTATTGGGAAGCCAGAATGCGCATCCATCAACAGAAAAACACATTACCCTTTTTTTTACGTGTTATTTATAGCAAACCATATTACAGATGGTTTGTTGTCAGATTTAAGTTGAACCGCGGTCCTAGAATCTCCAGCACGTGCTTTCAGATGGAGCGGCATTTACTACACAGAGCCGTAGATCACTGACAAGCTACACAAAATCGCATTTGAAATCTCAGGCGATTCATTGCGATTTTGAACGTGATTTTGTGTAGCTTGTAATTGTGTCGCCAGCCCTAATTCAAACACAATACTTCAGAGAGAGATTAATATTTGAGCGCATTCTGAGGCATGGGTTTGCGCGCTTCGGATGAGCGCATGCACAAATCTTCTCACTGCGCGCGTGAGCTCACGTCCTCTGGCTCTTAAATTTTTAAACTGGCAAAGCTTACATGAGTTTAGTTTAAACACCGATATAAACGTGTGCTGTTCAGGTCTCACCTGTGCGCGCGCTATCAGCACCCGGGTGATGACGGAATAAATGCTCATATTACAGCATACAGCATTCGGATTGAACAAGAGTGAATGGTTCGTCCACGTTATTTTTTATTTTTTTCCATCGCTGTTGTTGTAATGTATTGGGAAGCAAGAATGCGCATCCATCAACAGAAACATATATTAGCCGAACCCTGTTTGTTTTACGTGTTATTTATAGCAAACCATATTACAGATGGTTTGTTGTCAGATTTAAGTTGAACCGCGGTCCTAGTGCGTGCCGAACCGTACGGTTAGATTTTTTTCCACGAACCGTTCCACGCTAATATATATATATATATAAACATTAAAAAAGTCAATTACTAAAACTTTAATTAAAATTAAAATAGAAAATATAATAACAAAAAAATCTAAATATTTATTTCTCAATGTATCTCAAAATACTAAAATAACATTTGACTGCATTTTTTTAATGTAAATAGACAATATTTTTACTCAAATGTTTAAATGATCTATTTAAAAAAAAAAGTATCACCTGTATATGTTTTAGAATTTTTGTCTTGTAATAATCTGAAATGTTTAATATAGTTTTTTTTTTTTTTTTTTTAATTTGTTGTAATTCGTAAGTATTCGTAAATACTTGTTCTTGCCATTAAGATTTCAGTCTTGCTAAAAATTATTAAAAAATATAAATCCACCGCACGTTTGATATCAATAATACATTTCAATTGGCCTTTCAGAGAGCAATGCATATGCATTAATATTTAAATACCAAGTGATAAAATTCCTAAAAAGATTTGTATAAAGATTTTAATGACATTTGTGTCTTGAATATTTTTTTTTTTATATATATAAATGCAATGTGGCACTACAGGTGATGTTGAAATGAGAATATAGCGCAACTTCTTGTACCTTATTGCACAAAAGCTGTGATTTTTATATTTTTCAGCAACATATTTTTGCAAATTACATATTACCAAAAAAACAATTAAATCGGAATAGCAACATTTCAAAAGTAAAAAAAATAAACTAACACCTTCTCTCTTGAAGTGCCTGCAGTAAAGTCATGTAAAGTGATGTTTGGGCTGTGAACTTGTTCCCTCAGACGCGCAGTGAGCTCAGTGAGATACAGGATGCCCAGCGAGAGCTCAATAAGACCATCGAACGCTTCGGCAAAACTCTGAACGACAGCGTGATCAGCCTTGCCGACCTGGACCAGCTCATTGCTGAGGAGAGCTCCAGCACTGGCACCAAGGTCAGGAATCACGGCACGCTTCACAAAAGTCTTCATCATGTGCTCATGGGGTTTAAGGTATACCTGATTTTGAGAGACACAGGTGTACGTTGAACTTTTAGGAGATTTTCCAGGTTGTTTTAAGTTGGGGGAACAGATTGTCTCTTCCTTGTGACCTGAGTGAATCTAGGGGTGGGAGAAAAAATCGATCCATCGATGCATCGCGATTCTCTCTCCAACGATTCTGGATTCTGAGCTTATGCTATGTTCACGCCATATAGTAATTACCGTAATTTCAAGAGGACTACATGTGACGTTCTACTGTTCACGACCTCGGACTCAGAATTATGCTTTTCTTTGGGAACACTATCAACGCCTAAACAGAGCCTGCGATGGTCAGGTGGTACAGTGGTCGCGTGGTACAAGTCGTAGCTCTCAGAAAACTCCCAGTTCATAAATTGTAATTACGAGTTCTACGAGGACGTGAACGCTTTTTACAAGTTGGAATCTCGTATTTACAAGAATTCCGATATGGCGTGAACGCACCTTTAATTTTTAACCAGATGCGCGATGACGTTGAGTTTGCTTTAGAAAATTCTGCGTGCTTCCAATTCCTCACACACATACGTCACTCGAATCTTCCATAAAATAATCTTTCATTAAGTTCGGAAAGGTTGAAGCGAATTGCAAGGACATTCGCGGGCTTCATTGCACAGGATGTGCTGTGAGAGACACGCGCTTTGTTTGATGTTACACTTGTAGTGTGCAGACTCGCCCGTCGGTATTTTCCTTACAAAGGCTCTACGAAGTCATCATTTATGTGGTTTGGAATGCAGTGAACGTATATTTAAAATATGAACCTCACTAACAGAAGGCTGCTTTCAATTTCAAATGACACGCGTTATGTTTGTGAAGACTGCTCGCGCATGCATCTGTGTAAGTGGTTTAATGCACTTGTGTCTCAGAATGGTTTTAATGGCGCAAAATTAATGTAAACACAGCCAGTTATGTCTTAATGGATTAAACTTAACAGGACAAACCACATTACTTCTTATATTTCAAAAGAGATCCGTGCATGAATGCAGCTTAATAGATCTCCCGCTGTCTGTGATGTCACAGTAAAAAACAACAGTAAAGATGAAGAAAAATCACTCACAGTTCTTGAATGGAAAACGTTCTGATAATCTTAAATACTGAATGCACTCTTTGTTTGTTGTTTGTAATATGTTTCTATGCCCTTTTTATTATTTGCTACTTGCTTGTATGTTTTGAAGTTATAATAGTTTAAAATTCTTAACATACAACCGTTTTCATAATTTTTTTCAATTTGTAATTATATAAAAAAGTACTTAATTACTTATGTAAGGATATGTAAATGTAAGGATTTTAAGATTCTCAAGTCGGTAAACTAATTAATTAATAAGGGGGGAAAAAGTAGGTCAAGAATCGTTCTGGATTCGGATCGGATCGTGAGGTGACTAAAGATTCCCACCCCTGAGTCAAACCATGCAAAAAGTAACCAGGTTTACTTGTTTAGAGTTTTTGAAATTGTGATTACTAAGCTTTTAGTTGTATATTATAGTCGTTTATTTGTTGCAATGACAATTTTTAAAAAAATTAATAAATGCATTTAAATATAAAATTTTAATATTAAATAAAATTTTAATATTTAATTTTAAATTTAAAAGCTAAATTTTATATTTTTAAACATTTGGTCTGTTACACATTTTCGTTGACATTGACTGTTATTATTTTAGTGTTATTTATATGATATTTATGAGATTGTTTTCATTTTAGTAATTGTGTGTGCTTTTGTCATTTTTATTAGTTTTTGTTTTTTTTATATTTCTGTATTTCGAATCATGTATTTACTATTTCAGTTTTAGTTTTAGTTTTAGTAATTTTTGTACTTAAACTTATTTTAGTTCAGTTCAATGCCAAGGCAAAATTTCTCATTTTTGTTAAGGTTTTTTTATATTTATATATGTTATTTTATTTCAGCTCTATTTTAATTATTGAAAATGATTTTTTAATAGTTTTAGTTAACAATAACAACACTGCTAAAATTATATGCCATGTTGGACTAAATTGAATAACTATGATGAAAGCTTGCCTAAATTTAAAGAAAAAAAATAGTCAAAAGACAAAATACTTTAGAAATTGTGACGACTAAACTTTTAGTTTTATATTGTAGTTATTTGTAGCAATACACATTTTTGTTTAAATTAAACTTTTAAAATTTTTTTTTTTTTAAAGTTCAGATTTGATTAACATTTGGTCTGTTACATTTTGGCACATTTAGTTTTAATTCTTGTTTTAGTGCTTGTTTTAGTAATTGTCATTGCCCAGTGTTATTTTATTATTATTTACATACTATTAGAGCAGGAGTGCCCAACCCTGCTCCTGGCGATCGACTGTCCTGCAAAGTTCAGCTCCAACCCTAATCAAACACACCTGAAGCAACTAATTAGGGTCTTCAGGATCACTTAAAAATTAAAGGCAGGTGTCTTTGATTAGAGTTGGATCTAAACTTTGCAGGACAGTCGATCGCCAGGAGCAGAGTTGGGCACCCCTGTTTTAGAGTATTTATTAATGTTTTTTTTCATTTATACTAAAATTGACTAAAATTATATGCCATTTTGGACAAAATGATTGAATATGGTGAAATGGCGACTAAATGAAAAGAAACATTTGTCAAAAGTAATAAACTTTGACTAAAGTGAAATTACAGTTTACACTTTTTCCGTTAGACAAGCGTCCCAATGGTCATGAAAAACCTGGAATTTTTACATTGTGTTTCCAGCCCTCGAAAAAAAACATTGAAATGTAATCATGCAAACTATAAAATATTTAATTGTTCAAAAATATCTGTGAAATTATTATATCCAGTTATTAAAGTCGCGGTCATAAGGTCTGGGAACTGGTTATCAGTGTATTTACTGTAAACATGTTTCCTGTTTGTTTTTACTAATTGAGGACTAATTTACTAAGTGCCTTAGTAAAAACAAAGGGTAAATATTTTAACTTTAGAAATCACCTCTACAGTAATGCACCTCCTTGAGCTTTGAATAATCTGTAAAATTATGAAGGAAATATGGTTTGAATGTTTGGTCTTATTATGTTTCAGTCCTCATGTTTGTTCTCATTTAAGTTAACTTCAGCTTGACCTTCCATGCAAAGGTTAAAGAAAACCACACAACACTACACACACACACACACACACACACACTCTGCCACGCCCCCCTAAAACGGCTCGTTCTAACACGCCCCCACATATCTACCTCACTATGTGGAAATATTAGCGTAATGCTGCCCAAATGTTCACGCAAAGAAAGAATGACAATCTGGCGCTTCTGAATCAGCTACTGTTTTGTTATTAGTTTAAGTATTTGCTATTGACCGTTCAAATGCGGAGTTTTGCGCATCTTGTGTGTGTGAGAGTGAGAGAGAGAGAGAGAGACAGCCAGCGTCACATCACATCACATCACAGTAGAGTCAGCTGTCTTAACCTCAGCTTGTGTACTGCATCATTACTGTGTCTGTTCCCCTTTCGGGCTTGAACTGATGATAAAACTAATGACATTATTTACTGTCTTTACATTTATTTTGAAAGATGAAGCTCGCGATTATGGTAAGGGGCGTTACATTTCCGACGAGTGCTTGCGGTGTTCGGCCAATCACAATGCACTGGTTCAGCTGGCCAATCAGAGCAGACTGCGCTTGTCGGAAGGAGGGACTTTGTAGAAAACGAAGCGTTTGAGAGAGGCGGGGCATAGAGGACCTACAATAATGTACAGTATTTGAAAAATAATGTGTTTTTTGAACATTAAAGCATGTCAACATATTCTGTTACACCAAATACACAAAATAATGATCTTTAAAAAAGCATCATATGACCCCTTTAACCGTTAAACAGAGTCCAATTCTGAGAAAAAAAGGCAAAGTTACTCGATATGAAGTCAGAATAGCGAGATATAAACTCGCAATTGCAAGAAAAAATAATTGAGAGAAAAAGTTGCAAATACCCTTTTTATTTTTTATTTTTGGTGGAAATAAAAAACAGAATTGCGTGATGTAAACTTTGGAACTGTGAGATAAAAGTCAGAATTTGTATTTATATCAGAGTTTATATTTTCCAATTCTGACTTTGTTTCTGATAAAATCTGAGAAAAAACAAAGTCGCAAAATAAAAACTCATAATTGCTGGAGAAAAAAAGATGGAAATACCTTTTTTATTTTTATTTCAGCGGCGGAAACAAAAACATAATTGCAAGATGTAAACTTAGAATTGTGAGAAAAAAGTCAGAAATCGCAAAATTCTCTGAAAACTCCGAATTGAGTGCGAAAAAGTGCAAATTGTTAGAGAAAAACGTGGGGTAAGCGATTTCTGGTAGCCAATGTTGACATCTGAAATCACCGAAACAAACATACCCCCACCCCAAAAGGGTCTCGCCCCTATTTTGATAGCTCCGCCCCACACATACGTACGCAACCCAGGCAACGATTAGTTCTGTGAAACAAAGAAAAACCAATGTTACACCATGTCTACACCGGACGCGAGTGGCGCTGCGCGACAAAATACTATAGAACTCATTATAATCAGTGATGCTGTCTACACCACAGATATATATACACATCTATGGTCTACACTGGATGCGGCGCGGCACGACACTACAAATTTCCGACAGAAAACTGCTGCTGCGTTCTATTCATGATGTATTGACACAAATTTCAAATGATTTTCAGCGGTCGCTTTGTCGCGTCCAGTGTACTAGACAGACTTTAGCTGCTGCGGCGCAGACACGGTGTTACTCAGCTATCGAGAAGAAACAAAGCAACCTCGGCGTCCGATCGCAGGCCTTCCGCTCCTTGAGTTCTCTCCAGC